CAGGAAACTGGGAATTGCTTGAGCAATCTATGTATAATTTTAAGAAACGAGGCGTATCAATTTTGATAAACAAAAGAAATAAGAATGCATACTACTATCATGAATATGATAAGCTGTTAGATTACTCAAACATGACTGACTAAAAGAACACACACTGTCCATCTTGATTATTAAACTGGAGCCAATCAGAACTGTAGCTTACTAAGCTAATCTCAAGCAATTCCCAGTTTCCTAAATGTCATGAGGGACATTCAGGAAACTGGGAATTGCTTGAGATTAGCTTAGTAAGCTACAGTTATGATTGAGGTACACATACTTATGTTGGCAAATACAGCTTTTCTTTGATTGAGCGTGTTTTGTTTGTTCTTTTTTAAGGCTCCAGTTTAATAATCAAGATGGACAGTGTGTGTTCTNTACAAATCAATTTCTGCCACAGAAATAATAAACCTACCTCCATCTCTAAACCTATTCTCATGTCATTCCATGAATGCAGTTCAGTTTTAATTAACCAAGGCTCATTCAAGACAGACTTGCATAGTCTTACTTAGTGCGCACACCCACGGTATTTAAGAAGCCCAAATAAATGGATGAATGATAGAACGACCAAATGAGTCGGAAAGCCTGTAAAATGAAAGCGGTGTTTCTTTCAGCCGCAGAATAAACGCTGCTGATGGAGCTGTATAAAAAATACAAAGATGTAATCATTAAAAAAAGGCAATACTGTGGCCATACACACAGCCAAGGAGTTGGCTTGGCAATGAATTGCAGACAGACTAAATGCATAAGTTACGTAAATGTTACAAGTGCTTAGTACAGTGGCATGGTGGTACAGTGGTTTATGTTGTCACCTTATAATGCAAAAGTTGCTGGTTTGATCCCTATAGCCAACGGGGAACCTTGTGGGTTGATTTCACCTGTCATTATTACTGTATAATATTATTTGATCTCCGTAAAATACTTTAAATCACATCCGTGTGAAATGTTCTGCACAAATAACCGTATGTTGTCTTTGCTATTTTAGTAGTAAACTTTCAAAGTAGACAGTGACTAAAAATATAAAAATATCTTCCTGTTCATATTATTTTAACAGATTTTTTTTTCCAATTGCAGTTATTGCATTTCATGTTTCACCTTTGTAATATGCGTACGCTTTTATTTTACAGTAAAATACCACTATAACGGACTTCAAGGGACCTGGCAAAACAGTCCGTTACATCCAGAGTTGCTGTATGCCCAGAACACAACTACAGGACACCATTTACTCATGCCACACTTCAGCAGACACACTTTTGGTATAGATTATTATATTGTACATGTAGTAATCCAACTTTACCTGACCAGATGCGTGACTATTAATAATCTCGACTACGTATACGTATCTGCGCTGGATATCACCGGCACGCCACACGCCTTGTAGGCAGAACTGCATGTCTGTTATAGCCAAACAGAACTACAGCTAAAAGTGGCCCTGGGGACCAAATTGTTTGTCCATTATAAGTGAAATTCCGTTATATGCGAGTCCGCTATATCCAATGCTTTTTCTGCATGTTCTTAAAGGCGCACGGCCGGGACCAGTGGACCTCGTCCGTTATAGACGATATTCCGTTATAAGCGAGTCCACTATAACGGGATTTTACTGTAATTATTTTGGAATTAATTGGAATGCTAAGACGTGATTTTATAGGTTTTATTATATTGATTATGTAGCAATCTCAGCTCTGTTCTCCATATTATGGAAGTATCATGCAGAGCTTTACTTCAGAAGAGATGGTTTTTATTCTCTGCTTTCTCGTCTTGCTTTTACTCACAGCACTGACTACAGGGTTCCATTTTTTATATAGGCTACGTATATACAAGACTCATTCTCCCGCTAACTCAAACAAAATCATGTCATTTTGGTACACCTTACAGATTAACAAAAAAATTCAATCAGATAATGTAAAATATAATGTCAGATGAGGACATATACAGTAATTCAACATATTACATGACATGAATAGTAAGATCGCGGAATTTCTTCTGACGGAACGATCTTTTGGGAATCTGTTCCCACACGTTGGACGTTCTTTGAGACAACGCTAAACTAAGCGAGACAGTTAGCCTGGTGCGGACCAGGCATGTTCGCAGGTACAAATTACCACTCTGTAAAACCTGACTAGTTAGTTCAACTCACACTGTTTGAGAAAACCGATTGCCTTAAATCATTTAAGTTCATTAACTTGAACAATTAAAGTAAAAATATTTTTTGTATTCAGTAAAAGTAACTTAAGTATTTATAATTTAAGCAAATTAGTTAAATCAAGTTAAGAGCATCAGCTGCATTCATTAGTTTGATTTAAATGACTTGAGTAACAATAACTTAAATGCATCCTCCTTATTAGTTTTCTTCCTTTAAGATTTATTATTAGATTCTAGTTGCGACAACTTTTAACCTAGTTGTGGCTATTCAGTTCATTTAAGGAAACTCATTGCCTTGAACCTTGCAGAACGTGTGCCTTATATTTAGAACGTGCCCCAGGAAAATGGGTGTGGACATGCAAATGATCCAGCATGACTTCAAATCAGACCAAAATACGTGTCTGATTTTTTGCACAATTTTTCACAACATTGCAGTTTGTTTTCCGCCCACGTCACCCAACGTCCGCACCGACTGTATGTTGATTATGTGTGGGTTGACTAACCAGTTAAACGATTACAGACAAGACTATTAAATTAATATAATTTTAAAGGAAAATTGTTATTTGGACTGATTCATTGTTTTTGTAGTGATCATGAAGTCAACTCAGAGGAAATGAATTACTGCAACAAACTGGAATTATATCAGCCCAACTTAAAAACCTAAGTACACTCAAAAGAACTGAGTTACTACTCCAGCAATTAATGTTTGAGTTAAGTGAAATTAGTGGAAATGAGTGAATCCAACTTCTAGGCAAAATTAAGTTATATTAACTTACTTCTATTATTATGAAGTACTGTTAGGTTTTACAGTGTAATAAAATAATTCGCGGATCTGAAAACGGTTTGTTACTTAACAGGCTGTCAAACGCCTGTTAATATCGATTGAAAAGTTCAAAACAGCAGACATGAATTTGGCAATAAAGCGCTTGTTTCATTGTAAGTATGTATCAGATGCACCCCAGCTAACAGGGAACGTTCTCAGAACATTCACTAACGTTCTTTAAAAGTTGTGTAAATGTTAGTACAAAACGTTACTAAAATGATGTTTTTGGAACGTTTTTGTAATGTTCAGAGAAAACATTCTTAGAACAACGTTCTTGGAACGTCTTTAGGACGTTATTTGTACTTGATGAATGTTCTTATAATGTTGGTAGAAAACGTTCTTAAAACAACATTCTTGCAACGTCTTTACAACATTAGTTGTACTTGAATGTTCTTATAATGTTGATAGAAAACGTTCTTAGAATAACGTTTATTCTGTCCTTGCTAATGTTAATACGCAGCTTTTTTTAGCTTGACAGATAGCTAACAAGCTCCTCCAATAAACATCCAGGAAGCATCTTGCCGTTTGAGATATTTACTAAAAGATACACTGTGAAACTGAACAAATAATACATACATTACAAATTAATCCATACAATAAATACGTTACACTTATAAACGGCCAAATTACCTACTAGCGGGACGCTGATACATTGAAAATCCCATTACACTGTAGCGCGATTAACACATCATTGTGTACATTACCTTTTATTTAGGTCACAAGTAACTTAACTTATCAGGTAAGTATTTAAAGTAAGCAATACAATTAATGTCTTTTCGTACTTACAGACATATGTTCTTTATGGGCTGAAGAAAGTTAACGGAGAGGAAGAAAACGACAGCTTGTCTCTGAATACGTCTAGAACTGACGTAACCTAGGAAAACTACGGTATGCGAAGAGGAACAAACTAACAAAACATCTTTTGCTATTTCGGACGGCACAACGTTCTTGCAACATCTTTAGGATGTTATTTGTATTTGAACGTTCTTATAATGTTGATAGAACAACATTCTCAGAATGTCCTTATAATGTTATTATTTCTGAATGTTTTCATAATGTTATCACGAAACAACATTTATGGAACATCCTTATGTTATACTTGAATTATGAACATTCTCATTCTTCACTCTTATGTTGAGAGAAACATTCATAACATTTGTTAAGTTTCTCATTAAAATAAGTTGATAAAAATCTTGCTTGGGACCTGACAGAAAGTTATAATTAGAAATATAATTTAAAGTGTACAGATGTAATATATTATCACAAAAAAGGTGTGAAAAGGGATAAGCAAAAAGAAAATAACATTTGCAAAAGCAAAAAGAAAATTAAAATAATTATTTGATCCCCTGCTGATTTTGTACGTTTGCCCACTGACAACAAAAAAAAAGATCAGTCTATAATTTTAATGGTAGGTTTATTTGAACAGTAAGCGACAGAATAATAACAACAACAAAAAATCCAGAAAAATGCATTTCAAAAAAGTTATCAATTGATTTGTATTTGAACCGATCGTCTTTTTCTAATTTATTTAATTTAATTAAAACATGAATGGACATCGATCAGAACGTATTTTATTAAACCGCAGAAAGACGTCAATACACATAATTTTTCAAGTTTAAATCCACCGAAGTAAATCTAATCTCTTCCTGTCTGATTACTTATTGGACAGAATGGCGGATTCGGCGTTCAGATCGCCTGTCAATCAAGTTGTTTGCTAAATGGTTTGGGGCGGGTCAATTTACACGAAAATGGATGTACTGCACAAAATGACAATTATAAAAAAAAATAAAACATTATAAACTGTTATGAAACGACAAAAAACAGTTTAGGCATTTATCCTTCAAATAAATAAATAAAATAATAATAATCCACTCCATGCGCATATCCAGAATAAGCTCCGCCCAATGATACCGACATCTCTGGAAAATCTCAGAAACTAAAAACTTGCCGCCATTTTGTGTGGGTTCGCGGTGGTTCGATCACTTGATGGTAGGTCCTGTTGGTTTTGAAAATATCTTTGATTACTTCGAAGCTTTCTGTCTCTGGATACCAATCTAAATGTATGGTATATTGTAGATGATAATCGTCTGCAATATGCCATACATTTAGATTGGTATCCTGAGTTTTCTTACTATGTTAATTTATCAGGACTCTTCGCGCCATTTCACGAGGCGTAAAGTAGAGATTAGCCATGTAGATAATTGTTATAATGTGCATATTATTAAGAATTTAAGCCAATGGTTCGATTTTTTTTGATACCTCAGAAATTCCCATGATACAATGCGACACGATACGATTCGATTCAGTTCGATACTGGGGATAGTAGTCGAAATGATGAAATTTCACACAATCCTTTACATTTCAATGGATTAAAAAAGGCAAATTTAATTAGCATTTTATCAAGAAACTTGAACGAGCCATGATCATTCGACTTGACAAAATGGACCAAAAGCTGTCAATGATAGAAACACTTTTAAGAAGTGTTGCCCAGCCAAGCGACATTTCTGAGTTTCTGGTTAATCCTTGCAAGAGCACATTAATTGGAGGATTTGTGCATGAGGATGAATGAGGTGAATACAGGACAAAAACTGTAAGTAAATTTAACTATTGCAAAGTGCACATAAATATGCACACAACATATCAGTTTGCATAGCAAACTAAGACAGCAACAAAAAATGTTAATTATAAAACAATGCCACTATTTGTTTATTTTATGTTTTCATTTTTCAGTCTTCTGTTCTGAATACCATTAAATTAGTATAATTAAAATACACATTTACAAACATTATAAATATTTATTTATGTTTTGGCATTTTGCTTTTTTCTGAGTAGTAGTTTAATAACAAAATGCAACTTTTACACTGATGTGACTTAACCTGGTGCACCTTGTTTTCTAGGAAAACATGGTAGTTTTCTTACTAGTCTCAAGCTTACTTTTTAAAATGCAGGTGTCCACAGTGATACATGGATTAGGAATAGAAGTAGCTATCTGTCCCAAAGTAATAATTTCTTTTTTTTTTTTTTTTTTTACAGGTCCATTACTTGAGCCTCCTTGGAGGCAGAACCCCTGGAGACGCCATCCGCAGGGTACTTCGGACAGTTGGAGTAGACAGCCTTTGGTCGCAGTACAGCATGAAGGGAAGGAAGGGGGGGGAAAAATTTCAAGACCTTGACATTTGCAGTGTTATTATTCGTAAGTATTACGTTTTGTAACACTGTCGCTGCATTTTAAGATGAATTTTCAGTGACCAGATCTGCCAATGCACACAAACACACAGAGAGTAGGGATCATGCTGCACACACACACAAACAATCAGGAGCACTAAAACTTGTCATCAATGCTCCCCCACAAAATTTAGTAACAAAATAGCTTTGCTACTGAGTCACTGCATTATATTACTCAGTCGCTAGAGGGTTACATCGCTATTTTGAAGTAATTAAACAGTAATTAGAAGTTGTTAATCAGACCCTCCAGTTTTTCGTGATTGCTGAATCCAATGCAAAATCAGCTACATGTCGAATTTTTTGTGATTCTGCATAACTTGCCATTTCACCACAAAATAATTGCAAAAATGAAGATCTTGCAAAAAAAACCCCACTAAATTATAATTATTGAACTAATTATTAACTGAAATATACCAAATTTTACTATAGCTGTAATGTATTATTTTAAACGGATCGCAGTTGATCCATGATACATATGGACCAGGGGTGTGTTTCCCAAAAGCATTGAACTCTATTGGTAACGAAGAAACTTCCGACCATAGTTGCTTTCGGGAAACACACCCCAGGTCAAGACCCCACCTTTGGCATGTGATTTGCAGATTAATTTGCCAATTTACACGTTCAAGGTATTTAAAACCACAAGAAGAAGAAATGAAACAGAACTCAATTCGTTACTTACACACTGTTCTCGCACACTCCCGAAGTGCGCACAGACATAGAGACCTGTTTCAGACAGTGCGGCATACCGAGTTGATTCCTCTTTTATGTGTCCCTGCATTTAAGATACATACTACTTTGCACACAGCACTACAGTGCAATGTAGTCAGTGACATCATGCATTTGTGGCTGCTTTCATGTGGTCTGATCGTAATTTGAGACATTGTTTACACCTGTATTTAGCAAATGTTAAAGTAAGGTGTAAATGGGTACAAAGGTTCTTTAAAAATGTCATGACATGAATAATTTTTGTCTTTGAGCACCACATATTGGTTTTCCTAACATTTTTACTGAAGTACTTCACTAAGATGTTGTAAACTTCTGTTTAGAGGCTTGTCAAAGGATTCACCCGAAGGTACAAGTCAAGGTGTTTGAAGAATACATTGCAGAAACCCTGAAGTACGCTCCTCATCGTTATTCAAGGGTGAGTAACATAAAAAAATTCTGGCTTGTTTTCTTAACCCTAAACATTTTTGTTTGTTTTTTGTATCCTGTGGGATACAAACATTTTGGGATGGGAGTACTAAATGTGTTTTTGTTACCTAAATAGTTCAGTTAGTTCAGGTTTCATTTTCAGGTGTAATCCTTTACCGTGTGTTATGAACATTTTCATTGTATAACATTTGTAAGCTACCTTTGAATCATGTTTGATTTACTTATAGTACAAATTTATAATATGTAGCATAAATAACTTAAGGGTTAACTTTTAGGCAGCACCTGCACTGTTAAATGCTTATGAAATAATATATCACCATTAGTAACATAAGTCAATCTGTTCATTTTACAGACAGAGCATGAAGAGACTGGACCTGCTAGTCTGGCACCACCACACACTCATATTCTCACTGATTAAGCTTAATTTATAAATACAATGAGTTCCTAGTACAAGCTTAAATGTGAATGAGAATATTTGTTGTCGTTTTCTTTTCAAGTTTTTACCATATTATTAAAAAATTTCTTTTAAGTGTGCAGATTATATAATTACTTTTTGTAATTCACACTGTTATTGTACTGTTGTAAATTGTGTTAATAAAAAATAAAGTTGAAAGAATGGTTCAGGGACATTATTCTAACCATGAATTAATATTAAAGAATGTGGGCATTTTAATGTTTTTGGAATGTTACAAATAAACGTTCTTAGAATTTTATATTGTGAATAAAATTTAGGTGGAAAGAATGTTGCAGGAAAGTTATGCTAACCTTAAAATAACGTTGTGCTAACATAAAAAAACTGGACAATTTAGCATTCTTGGAACGTTACAAATCAACGTTCTTTGAACGTTGTAATAATAATGAAATTGAGGTGGAAAGAACGTTGCAGGAACGTTATGTTAACCTTAAGATAACGTTCCAGCAACGTTAAGCAAACTGGACATTTCCACATTTCTAGAACATTTTAAATCACGTTCCCACAACCGAAACAGAACGTTTGGAAAACGTTCTCAGAACATAACTTTGTTAGCTGGAACAGTAACACTTCTTTTCACGAAAAAAATAAATGACAATCTTTTTAAAACATCTGGGACTCGTTCTAATCTATGGCTAAAATAGTGTGCGTGTGCACACATAATTATATATATAATTTGAACGTCCATCCATGACCCAGCTTGTACAACAATATGACATTCAGCATTTGAACGTAATTTTTTGGACGTCATGTGGATGTCTATGACAGGTGCAGGTATTATATTTTATTTAGAAATATTAACATTGTTATTATCAACATAATGCATGTGAATACAGATTATTTATAAACAAACATGATTTATTATGTTTTAGCCTATTGATTTATTCAGTATGGGATTTTTTGTTCCTGTTTTTCTTTAACTGGTTTATTTATTTCAATTAATCAACTTATTTGTTTATGCATATATGTATTTATCTATATATCTGATTATTTATTAGGAAATGCAATTTGTGGGAAATTAGAGTTCTGAAAATGATTTCATGATATCCACCCTTAAAAGTGACGCCATGACAGCCATTCCCGGTCGATGCTCAAGAGAGGCAATGATGGCCACAGCAGAAGGTCAAGGACCAACCAAAAGATTCAAACAGTCAGCACCACTCTGATTGGCTGAGGCAACAAGCCAGACATTTTGGCGTGATTCGGCATGTTCAAGGCAATGCAAACGGCCGCACAACTTTTCAGCTTGCTTCGCACGTTCACTACCTAAATCCGTATGGTGAGTCCACCCATCGTTTTCAAATTTAGTTATTGGAATATGATCTAGTCCCATTTCAAAAGGTGGCATACTGTTCCAGATCATTTTCCAATAACTTCATTTGATTGTCTCAGCCACAGATAACTGGAGACGCATACAAAAGCGTAAACCAGGGGTCTCCAACTCCGGTCCTGGAGAGCTACTGTCCAGTAGGTTTTCTATCACACCCGGCTTCTGATGAGTCACACCTGTTCTCAGGTAAATACCAGGAACAGGTATGGCTCATCAGAAGCCAAGTGGGACAGAAAACCTACTGGATAGTAGCTCTCCAGGACCAGAGTTGGAGACCCCTGGTGTAAACAAAGCTACTGAAAAATTAACTGGTGGCCTATAGAAAACATGTCCTCCACCCTCTGGAAACATGGGACTACAGAGCCTATAGAAGCAGTATAAAACCGAGTCTAAAACGAGTCTAAGTTTGGCGTTGAAAAGATGTCCACAACGACCACATTTGGACTATAAATAGCCTATACACGGAGGTCCCACGGACATCAACACTAGACATTCATTAGATGTCAAAAAGGACATCGCCTGGCTTTACAAAACGACAGTGGACCAAAATTGGACGTCCAAAAATTACATATGTAAGACATCATTCCGACGTCACTTTGCACAGTGGGTAGTGTTGCACCACGTAGCTCAGATGACACTTGTCTCCAAATAATTGTATTAAGAAAACGTACTTCATGTTGGGGTCAGTGCAAATGTAATGAAGTCAGTGAGGGGATATGTTTCATATATACTTGATGATGGGAGCTGCATAAATGCAAAATCAAAGGGGATGCCTTTTTCGGCATAACACCGCCCCTGATCAATTTAACTTTTAACTATCTATCGGGATAGGTTTTCTCGTTATAACGTGATATAGTTTCACGTTAAAACGTGATGTTTTCATGTTGTTATAACGTGATATTTTCACGTTATCACATGATACGATTTCTCGTTTTAACGTGATGTTTTCACGTTATAATGTAATATTTTTACATTATAATGTAATAGTGAGAATATTTTTTTATTGTGTCGTGGCAGTAATACGCTTCTGTACATCTGACCAGTAAATTGTTATGAATTTCTTTCACATTATCTTAACATTTTAAAATTAACGCTAAGTCCGACCATCCCGTTCCAGCAATTCCCGACAGAATCTTTTAAGCTGATATTACTGACTAAAAAGGTTAAAAGAAAATTTTTAAATTAACTTAAGTATTTCACTTACCACTATATACTTTGCTCAAGATTATCCAAAGTGCATCGGCAATCTAAACTCGATAGTTCCAACATCCTCGACCTCTCATAGCAAACGTGACGGAAGTAAAAAAGAAAGCCCTAATATACACAAAGTATTCAAACTAGGGCTGGGCGATATGGACCCAAAATCATATCTCAATGTTGAGTTCGGAGAGGAAAAGGGGCTGGGTGGGGCAGGGCAGGGCAGGGCAGGGCGCAGATTTGCTAGAGACAGACAGGGTGAGGAGAAATAGGAGAATTGGCGGCTCTACAAGTATAATTTTAAAGCAATATGAACCATATCAATATACAGTAAAACTGGTGTAAGTCGCCGGCTTGTAACTCGTCAATGTGCACAAGTCGACGCTCAAGCAAAAGTCCCGATTTTTCCTAATGATGTTTCCTTTAAAATTCCTTATGTAAATCGCCGCTTGTAAGTCGTCAAATTCCCTTAGTCGTCACCTAAATCCCGGTCCCGAACAACACAAATGAATGGATTTTCCTACCTGTAAGTCGACACCCCAATCGCTGCATTCCCGCTAGGGCTGGGCGATATCAAATCGCGATTAAATCGCGCATGCGCAATAATCACTAGGGCTTCAGATGACAGGCGCAACATTTGGCAGTGCGCCAGCTTTTCTGTG